AGGAGGAAGAGGAAGAGGAGGAGGAGGCGGAGGAGGAGCAGGAGGAGGCGGAAAAGGAGTAGAAGGAGAAGGAGGAGGGGGAGGAGGGGGAGAAAGAGGAGGAGGGGAGGAGGTGGAGGAGGAGGAGGAGGAGGAGGAGGAGGAGGAGCAGCAGGAGGCCCTCGGCGAGGCGCAGCTGCTGGAGAGCACCCCGAGGCCGGAAGATCGCCGGGAATCGATGCGACGCTCTCAAGCCTCGAGCCCAATCAAAGGAACCCTAACCCTCTGGGATGGGATCTAAGCCAGAAGGGCCGAAAACACATTAGAGATAGGAATATGTTCTGCAGATGCATCGAACCAAGCCGTCCAGATCTGTGATCCCTCATGCAAAGACTGGAACCTAAGTGAGGCCACGTCTTCACATTATCAGGATTAAGGATCCTGTTGCTCTCCAAGAAATGAACCTGGCCCCCCAGACACCCGACGTCATGATTTTTGCACAACTTCGACCCCCAGAGGTCTGGACCCTTTCCCCGGGGCCGGCTTTCCTCCCGAATCGAATTTTTCGACGGGCCCGAGGCCCGGCGAGGGCCCCCAGAGGCCAAAACCAACGACAGACTCCCCGTCATGCCTTTTTCATGGCGCGAGAGGGTCTGGAAATCTGGCCCTCCTCCGAACCTTGGAGCCTCCCACTAAGGGCGGCCCACCCGGGCAGGTGGCGGCCGCCGCGCAGCAGATCTCGCGGCGGCCGGCGCGAGCTTGCCGCGGGCGGGCGAGAGGCGCACAACGGCGAGACGGGCACGGGAGCGAGACGAGCACTGTCTTTGGGCGCCCTCCTCCCGCCTCTCGCTTTTCCCGATGGGCCTGTTTCCACCACCACCACCATGAGTTGGAGGGGGGAAGGACGAGGAGGACGAGGAGGAGGATGACGAGAAGGATGAGGATGAAGAGATGGACGAGGAGGAGGAGGAGGAGGAGGAGGAGGAGGAGGAGGACTCCGTCCCCCTCCAACTTATGTTCGTGGTGGTGGAAAACAGGCCCATCATTTCCCCTCCGTTGGCGGCGCGCGCAAGGGGGTACGAGTAACTTTCCAGGGCTGCCCCTGCATCCCTGCGGGGCGAGGGATTTGTCCATATCCACCGCCTGGGAACCGGCGTCCTGTTGCCTCAGCGGGCGGTGGATATGGATAAAGTTTGGCCCCCGGGTGCCCGAATAAGTCTATATCCACCGCCTGCCGATGCCCCCGAAATTGATCCTCCAAGCCGCGGTCATGTATACAATATCGCCTCGGAATCCTTGCACCTTCGGCCCATCCTCGGCGACTGTCGCTGGCCAGCCCCGTTCGGAGACGCAGACATGGCCTTCCGAGGCCCTTGCACTCTTACAGCGCGTCCTCATCATACTGGTTGACTGCAGGGGGAGGGGGGAAGCCTCGTGGAAGGAGGCTGCCTCTTCCGCGCCTTCTGAGAAGCACGGATGCTCCTAAGGAGCCTTCCCCATCCCCCTGCCCTCCTGTGCGCGTGGCCGATTTCCCCCTCCCCCTAGCTAAGCCTTGCCTCCTCCCAGCTAAGCCTTGCCTCCTCATCATACCGGTTGACTGCAGGGGGAGGGGGGGAAGCTGCTTGGAAGGAGGCTGCCTCTTCCGCGCCTTCTGCGAAGCAGGGGGCGCTTCTGAGGAGCCTGCCCCCGTCCCCCTGCCCCCTCGGTGCGCGTGGCCGCTGCTTTCCCCCTCCCCCCAGCTACGCCTTGCCTCCTCCGCGCGGTGATGACCTCGGCTGCCCAGGTACGAAGCTCGGCTCGATTCGACTCGGAGCGTCCCATTGCCGCTCCCTGCGCTCCCCCCCCCCCCTCGACGGCTCGACTCGCCGGGGATCTGGGATCTTTCCTTTGTCGACTTGCGACCCTCGGGCGCCGCACGCGTCAGGAGCCCCTGACCATCGCGAATCGGCCACGGCCAACATTGACCATGACCAAGACAGGCGTCGAAAAGAACCCGCGACACCGTGGTCCTGGTCATCGTGGTTCGTCCATCGACTTCGATCCTCGCGATTCAGCAGTGACGAGCCGGGCGCGCGCGCCGCTCGCGCGCGCGCGCGTCAGAACCCCCAAAGGTCGACCCCTTCAAGGGGACCAACTTGTCATCCGGGTTGTTTTGGAAGGTCTCGGGGAAGGGGGGACGGCCCCGAGAAGCCGAGGACCGCCCAGAACCTCCCGACGCGCTCTCGTTCCACGACGCGAGGGGGACCGGGTTGCACTTCTTTGCTCTCACTTCGGTCACTGTGGAATGGAATGGGCAAGGTTCCGCCATGTTGCCGCCTGCCGCCTCGTTGCCGTCCCGTGCGCTGGGCGGTTCTTGCGAACCTTCGCCACACTGCCGCCCGTCACCGCCTCGGTGCCGCCTCCATCTCGCACCACGTATGCACCACGTGGCTGGCACCACATAGCTGGCACCGCATAAGAAGTCTTTAGCTTGGCCCTCCCCCGCCCTGGAGCTCTCTGCGGTCAACAAACTGACCCTCCCTCCTCCCTCCGTCCTCCTCCTCCTCCTCCTCTTCCTCCTCCCCTTGCTAGGGTCAAGAAGCTTTCTTGCAAGCACTGGCGAGGCATAAATTAATGACACCCCCGTTACCTGAGCTGAGAGGAGGAGGGGGAGGAAGAGAGGAGGAGGAGGAGGAGGAGGAGGAGGAGGAGGAGGAGGAGGAGGAGGAGGAGGAGGAGGAAGGAGGAGGAGGAGGAGGAGGGAGGGAAGAGGAGGATGAAGGAGGAGGAGGACGAGGGAGGAGAGGAGGAGGAGGAGGAGGAGGAGGAGCGGAGGAGGAGGAGGGAGGAGGAGGAGGAGGAGGAGGAGGAGGAGGAGAAGGTGGAGGAGGAGGAGGGGTGGAGATGGAGGAGGAAGAAGAGCAGGGGGCAGGAGGAGGAGGAGAAGGAGGAGGAGGACGAGAAGGAGGAGGAGGAGAAGGATGAGGAGGAAGTAGTTTCCCACTAATGCGCGCCGTGCTGAATAATGGTGGACAGTAATTTCTCCCATTGGACAATGCCTCCTGGGCTACCCTCCACGCGAAAGGAATGTCGAGCTTGTTCGTAAGAAGGCTTGCAATATGAATCGATGCATCGGAGCAGGACGGGAAGGAGGAAGAGGAGGAGAAGGAGAAGGTGGAGGAGGAGGAGCAGGAGAAGCAGGACGAGGAGGAAGTAAGGAGAAAGAGGATAATGAGGAGGAGGAGGAGGAGAAGGAGGGGGGAGGAGGAGCAGGAGAAGGACGAGGAAGAGGAGGAGGAGGAGGAGGAGGAATTATTGTCTCACCAATGAGCGCCGTGCTGAATAATGGTGGCCGGTTATTTCTCCCATCGGGCATTGCCTCCCGGGCTACCCTCCAAGCGAAAGGAATGGAATTTCGAGCTTTTGTCGTAGGAAGGCTTGCAATGATAATCGATGCATCGGAGCAGGTTGGGAAGGAGGAAGAGGAGGGGAAGGAGAAGTTGGAGGAGGAGGAGGAGGAGAAACTAGGGAGGAGGAGGAGGAGGAGGAGGAGGAGAAGGAGGGGGGAGGGGGAGGAGGAGAAGGATGAGGAGGAGGAGGGAGAATTTTCCCACTAATGCGCGCCGTGCTGAATAATGGTGGACGGTACCATCGGACAATGCCTCCTGGGCTACCCTTCACGCGAAAGGAATTTCGAGCTTGTTCGTAGGAAGGATTGCAATAATAATCGAAGTATCGGAGGAGGAGGAGGACGAGGAACAGAGCTCCTTGGCATGTACTTCGTCAGAGTGTTGTGAGCCCTTGAGCTTTCAGAGTGAGAGTTTCAGAGCAATGAGCCTTTGAGAAAGTTCTCGAGCAATAATTTTCAGAGCAATGAGTTTCAGAGCAATGAGTTTCAGAGCAATGGGCTTCAGAGCAATGATAATCAAAGCAATGAGTTTCAGAGAAATGAGTTTCAGAGCAATGAGCCTTGCAGAGCAGTGAGAGTTTCAGAGCAATGAGTTTTAGATCAATGAGCCTTTGAGAGTTTCAGAGCAATGAGCCGTTGAGGAAGTTCTCCAGCAATGAGTTTCTAGGCATTGAGTTTCATAGCAAAGAGTTTCAGAGCAATGAGCTTCAGAGCAATGAGTTTCAGAGCAGTGAGAGTTTCAGAACAATGAGTTTCAGATAATTCAGTCTTTGAGAGCTTCAGAGCATCCTCCTTCTCCTCCTCCTCCTCCTCCTCCTTCTCCCCCTCCTCCTCCTCTTCCTCCTCGTCGTCGTCGCCGGTGTTGTCGTCAACGGCGGCGGCGGGAAACACATAATTAGTTTCCGTTGTTGTCGGGGCCCCAGTCCGTCAATCAGATCGCCAGAAAATATTGAGTTTCCCACTGTTGCGTTGTTTAAAATACTCTTCGGGACCTACTTCTTGAGATCCGCGCGTCGAGTGTCGAAGCCGGAGTCGGCACGGCACGAACCAGCGATCGGGGGCGCGCAAACTTGGATATTAGCGATCCATGGATTTGGCGCGCGGTCGCCAAATCCATGGATCGGGGGAAGTGCCCTCCCAAAAATGCCGCCGGTGCCGCCTCGTTCGGCGGCGACTCCGCGGTTCCCCATGGACACGGGACCCGTCGCTAATCCACGCCCCCTTGGTACATGTTTGCGATCGCCTGATGCGAGCATCTGTCGAACTTTTGGAGTCCCGGAACAATGGGGTGACAGACCGCGCGGTAACCTCGAAATCCCCCAAGACCTCACCGCACGGCCCGTCGACGCACGGTTCTGGGATCTCGGCTGCCCCACCCGAGTCCCCAAGCCGTGCGGCGACCCCGAGTCCCCACCGACTCGGCACACGGTGTGGTCACCGCCCCCGTTTGGGAACCCCCGAGAACTGCTAAGAACACCGATCCTGGCCAGGATCACCCTGGGCCCAGGATCGGTGTATACGCCCTCCTGCCTTGCGCAAGAAGGCATATACACCGATCCTGGGCCCAGGGTGATCCTGGGCCAGGATCGGTGTTGGTGTATAGTTGGTGCCCTCCGAACTGCGACCCTCCCGATCCCCCGGGGACGCCAGGGACGGGAGCCGGGCGCGCGCGCCCGTCAGAAGTCCCGGAACAGCTGCTGCTGCTCCTCCGTGAGGCCGCCCGCGGCGCGGGCCTTGGCCGCCTCTCGGGGCAGGCGGCCAGCGGCGGAGTCGGGCGCCGCCGCCGCCGCCGTCGCCGCGTCGTCGTAGTCGTTGTCGTCGTCCGTCGTCGTCGGTCGTCGTCGTCCGTCGTCGTCGTCGTCGTCGTCCGTCCGTCGTCGTCGTCGTCGTCGTCGTCGTCGTCGTCGTCGTCGTCGTCGTCGTCGTCGTCGTCGTCGTCGTCGTCGTCGTCGTCGTCGTTGCCGCCGTCCTCGTCGGCCTCCCGCTCGGGGGCGCCGCCGGGCGCTGGCGCGGCGCCGCCGCAAGCGCTTGGCAGGAAGGGCGAGGGGCACCTGCACCGAGGACGGGCCGCGGGGGAGCGCAGGGGCACCTCCTCCTCCTCCTCCTCCTCCTCCTCCTCCTCCCTCGGGGGGCCCCAGGGGCAGCCCAGGGCAGAAGGCAGACATTGTCCCGAGGATTCTTCGAGGTGGCCCCGGAGAGATCCCCGACAGGCTGGCTTGTTCCGTGCGTGCTTCCTCGATTCTGGCTGGCTCCCAAGGGCAAGCCACGACACGGTGTTCTCGTCGGCTCCCCGAGGTGTTCGGACGTTGTCCCTGGATCACCCCGAACGGCCCCCAGGGGCAGCCCAGAGCAGACATCAATGGTTGCATTTTTACCTAACAGCTTTTGCTGATAGGTTTCCAGTGGGGTCAAAAGAGAACATCTGGACTCCACAGGGGGGTCTGGGCGGGTGCCGGGGGGGAGAACCGGGAATCGCTTTTCGCCAACAGTCACACACTTCGTGCTCTTCGACCTCCCAGAACTCCATTCCCGGGCCACATTCAGTCTGGAGAACCGGGAACAGAGCCGGGCTCGCTCTTCGCAAACAGTCACACACTTCGTGCTCTTCGACCTCCCAGAACTCCACTCCCGGGCTACATTCTGGAGGACCGGGAACAAAGCCGGGCTCGTTTTTCGTCAACAGTCACACACTTCGTGCTCTTCGACCTCCCAGAACTCCATTCCCGGGCCCGGAACCAACTGTAAGCCACTTCGTGCTCTTCGAGTTCCCAGAACTCCATTCCCGGGCCACATTTTGGATGCCCGGAGCCAACTGTAGGCCACTTCGTGCTCTTCGATTTCCCAGAACTCCATTCCCGGGCCACATTTTGGATGCCCGGAGCCAACTGTAGGCCACTTCGTGCTCTTCAAGTTCCCAGAACTCCATTCCTGGGCATGATTTTGAATGCCCGGAGCCAACTGTAGGCCACTTCGTGTTCTTCTAGTTCCCAGAACTCCATTCCTGGGCCACATTTTGAATGCTGAGGCAGGCTGATGCTGCGGCCGAGGCAGGCTGAGGCTGAGGCAGGCTGAGGCTGAGGCCGAGGCTGAAGGCAGACTGAGGCTGAGGCTGAAGCAGACTGAGGCTGAGGCTGAGGCAGGCTGAGGCTGAGGCTGAAGCAGGCTGATGCTGAGGCAGGCTGAGGCTGAGGCTGAGGCTGATGCAGGCTGAGGCTGAGGCAGGCTGAGGCTGAGGCCGAGGCTGAAGGCAGACTGAGGCTGAGGCTGAAGCAGGCTGAGGCTGAGGCTGAGGCAGGCTGAGGCTGAGGCAGGCTGAGGCTGAGGCTGAGGCAGGCTGAGGCTGAGGCTGTGACTGCGACTGCCGTTGCCGCTGCGACTGTCATCGCGAATGCGACTACGCCTGCGAGAACAGCAGAATTCTACAACTGGATTTTCATCTGAATCGTAAGGGGAATGCTTTCAGATATGCTTCTACATATCGCTGTTAGGTTGCTTTGCCGGGATAATCAACGATTTTGCCCCCCCCCTCACACACACACACACACACACGCACTTTTTAACGGCGGCGGTTAGGCAGAGTCACTGCGCTGGCGAGGGAGCGAAGCGGGGCAGCCGTTAAGCGAAATGTGCCACCATGCAAGAGGGGAAGAGAAGACGACGAAGCGACGGCCGAGAGGAGGACCCCCCCCCCACAAACACACACACACACACACACGTCTCCGACGAGGTGGTGTTTTCAATCCCTCGGTTTTTACCTAACAGCTTTTGCTGATAGGTTTCGAGTGGTGTCAAAAGAGAGCATCATGACTCCTCAGGGGGGTCTGGGCGGGTGCCGGGGAGGAGAACCGGGAACAGAACCGGGCTCGTTTTAAGGCTCGTTTTAAGCCAACAGTCACACACTTCGTGCTCTTCGACCTCCCAGAACTCCATTCCCGGGCCACATTTTGAATAACCGGAGCCAACTGTAGGCCACTTCGTGCTCTTCGACTTCCCAGAACTCCATTCCCGGGCCACATTTTGGATGCCTGGAGCCAACTGTAGGCCACTTCGTGCTTTTCGACTTCCCAGAACTCAATTCCCGGGCAACATTTTGGATGCCCGGAGCCAACTGTAGGCCACTTCGTGCTCTTCGAGTTCCCAGAACTCCATTCCTGGGCATGATTTTGAATGCCCGGAGCCAACTGTAGGCCACTTCGTGTTCTTCGAGTTCCCAGAACTCCGTTCCCGGGCCACATTTTGAATGCTGAGGCAGGCTGATGCTGAGGCTGAGGCAGGCTGAGGATGAGGCAGGCTGAGGCTGAGGCCGAGGCTGAAGGCAGACTGAGGCTGAGGCTGAAGCAGGCTGAGGCTGAGGCTGAGGCAGGCTGAGGCTGAGGCTGAGGCAGGCTGATGCTGAGGCAGGCTGAGGCTGAGGCTGAGGCTGATGCAGGCTGAGGCTGAGGCAGGCTGAGGCTGAGGCCGAGGCTGAAGGCAGACTGAGGCTGAGGCTGAAGCAGGCTGAGGCTGAGGCTGAGGCAGGCTGAGGCTGAGGCAGGCTGAGGCTGAGGCTGAGGCAGGCTGAGGCTGAGGCTGCGACTGTGACTGCCGTTGCCACTGCGACTGTCATCGCGAATGCGACTACGACTGCGAGAACAGCAGAATTCTACAACTGGATTCTCATCTGAATCTTAAGGGGAATGCTTCCAGATATGCTCCTACACATCGCTGTTAGGTTGCTTTGCCGGGATAATTTCTACCTTTGCGGCCGCTTCTCTGGCATAGCGCAGGCTGGCCCCTCGTGGCAGCATACGCCCACGATATGAGTTTCGCCGTCGGATCCTAAAAGAATGGACGTTTCGTCAGTTCCCGGAGGTTCTCCAGTCTCGGGACGCTTCTCAGCGGCTGTGCCTCGTCGAGGGCCTTCTGGGGGAGCCCGGATCGTCCCGAGAGGCCGCCGGAGGCCCGGTCCGGGCCCGAAAACCACTCCGACTGCGAGGAAAATGGGCCCCGGAGAAGGGGTCGGGACCTCTGGGGTCGCGGATTGGAGGCATCGTATCAGCAGGTTGCAGGGCAGACGACCCCCAGGGGCAGCCGAGAGCCAAAGTCGCTGGCCAGTGCTGAGGGTTTTCGTCGGTCTGGGGCCTCCTCGCGGTCTCCGACACCCCGGGGCGCCGCCGTGGGCCTCCCAGGTCGCGGCACGTGGGCGGAAGAGGCCCCCCCAGGGAGCGTCCCAAGACGGGCCCCGAGAGAACCCCGCGACGGTCCCGAGAGGGCCGCGGGACGCCCCAAGAGGACCCCAAGAGTAGACGAGCGCGTTCCACTACTCGCCCAGCAGCCACTCGCAAGTGGCCTGGAACCGCCCCCAGGGCATCCACGACACAATACATCCAGGCAGACAATATGTTCTGGGGAAGCTTGCCGAGCAGGCACTTTCGTGGGCAGTGCTTATATCCATATCCAGAGCGTCGTGGACTTTTTGGGAAGAGGTGCCGCAACGCCGAGGCGCACTGGATATGGATAAAATCAAGCCTCTTGGGGCCAGATTTTTATCCACATCCCGTGCGTCTACGGCTTCTGGGGAAGAGAGCCCAAGAATCCAAGACGCACTGGATGTGGATATCACTATTGCCCGCAACTCTGCGAGCAGTGGAACGCGCTCGGCGAGAAGGGGGGCGCCCAGAGCGCGCCCGAAGATGGCCTCGGCCGGCCCCCGCGGCATAGCCCCGTGCGCGGCGGCCACGGCCCTCGGCTGCACGCGGGAGCGGCCCCTGTGCGCGAGCGGCCTCTCCGCGGCCCCGCGCAAGCGCGGGGCTCGGCCCCCGGGCGCGCGCTCCCCCCCCCCCCCCGAGGATGCCGCGCGCCCGAGGCCACTCCCGCGAAGGGTCGCTCTCGCGCGCACGCCGGCACGCCCCCGCGCCGCCTCGAGGCGGCGCCCCCCCAGGTGCGCTTCGCGCCCCGGGGCTTCCGAGGGCTCCCAACTTCGCGCGCTTCGCGCTGCGCGGAGCGCGAGGTGCGACTCACTCTGCGCCCTCGCGCCGCCTCTCCCAGGGGAGGGGAGGAAGAGTGGGAGGAACCGGAGCCGAACCGCGAAGCGCGAATGACTTCGCGCCCTCGAGGGCGCCCCTGGCTTCGGTGCTGGGGCCGCCCCCGCGTGCTACGCCCGGGGCCTGCCGAGGTCAGCCTGGGCATGCCTCTGGGAGCGGTCTCTGCGCGCAGCGCCCCGGGCTTGCCACCTCCGCTGGAGAAGGTCGCCCCAGTCCACGGAGGAGAACCACGGGTGGCTCCGGACGCGCTGGCTCCCGTCCGCGCCGCTGCCCAGGCGCAGCGTCGGGTCCTTGATCAGGAGCAGGTAAACGAAGCTCTTGGTCACGCTCCCGAAGAACGGGGGGCACTGCGGATCGCGCTCGAGCACCTTCTTGCGAGTCTCCCTAGCGGAGCGCCCCATGAAGGGAGTCCTGAACGAGAGCATTTCGAAGATGAGGATACCAAGCGCCCACCAGTCCACACACTTGCCGTGGCCGATCTGGGACAATACTTCTGGCGCCATATACTCTACGGTCCCGCAAAGTGTATACGTTGATGTCTTGACCACTTTAGCTAAGCCGAAGTCGATGATCTTCGCGTGGCCAAGTTGGTCGATAACCACGTTCTCTGGCTTAAGGTCACGATAGGCGATGTCCAAGCTGTGAATCCGCCATCGTGTCAGCGGCACGTTCCAGCGCTTTAGAATGCTTGTCTGTTTTCTAGTGAGGTGCTTGTTAAACATAAATGTTTCTAGGGCCGCTGCTCCCCCCCCCAACCCGTACTGACGGCCCATCTCAAAGAATCCCCCTCCGCCAGAGTCTGCTCCGATGCCATGTTTAGCTTCCGTTCGGCCACGAAAAGCCTATAGACCGTTCGAAGACGGCTGCAAGACACCAGAAGATCGCCGACTGATAACCCTTAGAGGTCCCAAAGGCTACATTACATCTCACAGATATGCCCTATGAGGCCTCAAGAAGCCTCGAGGAGACGCCCGATAAGGCCTCCAGCGAGGCCCTCGAGTGTGTTTTTCGTTGAGGAAACTTGAATCCAAAACGTCCGTGACGTGGGGGGGGGCCCTCCCCAACAACGGTACCGAACGTGCGCGTGGGTGGTGCCGGCTTCCCCTCAGGCATGGCGCCATGCTCACGGGCGGGCTGTGGTGCTGGGAGACATGCTTCGGTGCTCACAAGCATGCTGTGGCGCTCGCACGCATCTGGAGATGCGGTGTGCTGCTGCTGCTGCTCCTGCTGCTTCTGCTGCTCCTGTTGCTGATCAGGTGCTCCTCCTGCTCCTCCACCAGTGTTCCTCCTCCTCCTCCTTCTCCTCCTCCTCCTCCTCTTCCTCCTCCTCTTCCTCCTCCTCCCCCTCCTCCTCCCGTGCACTTCCCGCTGGTCCTCCTGCTGCTCCTCCCGCTGTTCCGCCTGTCCTCCTGCTGCTGCTGCTCCTGCTGCTCCTCGTCCTGCTCCTCCTGCTCCTCCTGTTGCTGCTCTTGCTGATGTCTGGCTGCTCCTCCTGCTGCTCTTGCTGCTGTTCCTCCCCGCCTCGCCGTCCGCGGCCGTGGCGGACCCGGCGGCTCTGCCGGGAGCCTCCCGCAGCCTGACCGTCCCGCCGGGCGGGCCCAGCCCCGGGCCAGCCTCCCGTTGAAGCAGGCCTGCTGCTGCTGCTGCTCCCCCCTTCTCCTGCTGCTCCTGCCTGCTCCTGCTGCTCCTCCTGCTGGTCCTCTGGCCGCCACTTCTGCCGCTCCTCCTGTTGCTCCTCCGGCTGCTCTTCTCTCTGCTGCTCCTCCTGCTGATCCTCCCGCTGCTCCTCGTGATGTTCTTGTCCTGCTCCTTCTGCAGCTGCTCCTGCTGGTCCTGCTGGTCCTTCTCCTACTGCTCCTCTTGCTGCTCCTTTCTTCTTATGCTGCTGCTCTGGTTGCTCATCTGGCTGCTACTCCTGCTGCTCCTCTCCCTGTTGCGGTTCCTCCTGATGTTCTTGCTCCTCTGGTGTTCACTCTGCTCATGATCCTCCTCCTGGTGCTCCTCCCCTCTGCTCCTCCCGATGCTGCTGTGCTCTTCCTCCAGTGCTCCACCTGCCGTTTCATCTGCTACTCCTGCTTTCTGTTCAGGAGCTCCTCGCCCCTGCTATTCATGCTCCTTCTCTTGCTGCGCCTCCTGCTACGCTGGTTTCCTCCTGCTGTTCCTCTTGCTGTGCCTCCCAAGTAGTGCGCTGCTTGCCGCTCCTTTCGCTGTTCCTCCTGCTGCTACTCCACTTGCTCCTGCCGCTCCTCATGATGTCCATCCTGTTCTCATGCTGTTCCTCCAGCTCCTACTGTTCATCCTGCTGCTGATCCTCCTGCTGCTATCACAATTCCTGCAACAACAACTACTACGACGACTACGACTACTGCTTCTGCTGCTCCTTCTACTGCTGGTAGTTTTCGCCGACCCCTTGGGGTTCATCGGCGTGTGAGATGTTTCCCCTCCCCAAACCCCACCCCTGGGAGCCCGGTCCGGTCGATTTGGAGGGGGGGGGGGGTCCGGGCAAATCCCCCGATTCCCCTGATTCCCCCGGGGGGGTCATCCGCTCCCGAAAATCCTGCAAGGACTCCTCCGGTGGCCTCGAAATGGCCCCGGGACGCCAAACGAGCGCTCCAAGACGCCCAAGGTGGCCCAAAGACGGGCTACGAGGCCTCCTAGACGGCACAAGAGGTCCCCACGAGGCCCCAAGAGGCCTCCAAGATGCGTCCCAAGAGGGTCCCTAGACGCAGAAAGTTGCCCATTCCTTCCGTTAAACGTACATTTTTCACAAGTTCGCCTTCTGGGTTTTCCGATGCTCCAAGACGGCCCAAGAGGCCCCTAAGACCGCCCCAAGACGGCCCAAGAAGCCCCCAAGAGGGCCCCAAAATAGCCCAAGAGGGCCCCAAGACGGGCCAACAGGCGTCCAAGACGGCCCAAGAGGGCCCCGAAAACGGACCCAAGAGCGCTCCAGGAGCGCTCCGAGTGGCCTCCAAGAGAGCTCAATATGATCCCAGATGGTCCAAGAGCGATCAAAGACACCGAAGACTCCAGACGGCCCAAGATGCCCCCAAGAGGCCCCAAGAGGCGTCCAAGATGCGCCCCAAGAGGGCCTCTAGACGCAAACAGTTGGC